AACGGTCCAGCCACATAACTCAGCACGCACTGAGCAAACGGTTACCTTTTGCACGGGTGCCGGAGGAAAGGTTTGCATGCGTCCAGCTGCAACCCCAATGCCAGTGACAGCCCCAGGAGGAGCTGGAGATGAGGGGATAAGAGCGAGTTGCATAGAGCAGTAGTTCTCAACCAGGAGTCGGGGGGCCCCTAGGGGGCCTCGAGCAGGTTTCAGGGGGGCCTCCAAGCAGGGTCAGCATTAGACTCACTGGGGCCCAGGGCAGAAAGCCAAAGCCCCCCGCATGGGGCTGAAGCCCGGGTCCCTGAGCCCCACCACTTGGGGCTGAAGCTGAAGTCTGAGCAATGTAGCTTCATGGGGGACCCTGTGGCGTGGGGCCCTGCTTGCTACCCCCTAACACCGGCCCTGGCTTTTATATGCAGAAAACCAGCTATTGTGGCACAGGTGGGCCGTGGAGTTTTTATAGCATATGGTGGTGGTGGTGGTGGTGGTAGGGGGCCTCGGAAAGGAAAAGGTTGAGAACTCCTGCCATCGAGGTTCTTAGATCTCCGCTCTGGAGTTGGAGGCCTATTTGCGGGGGAGCGGCCAGCAAGCCTCAACGTTTCTTCCGTTTGAAAGCCAGGGGTATTTCTGAACGGCGCTCCAGGAGCCTTACGGCCCTGCGTGCCATCGACAGGGCAGAGGAGTGGAGAAAACCCAGTGAAACATGGAACAATCCTGGCGGATTTGGAGTAAGAGGATGGAGAAAACCCCGCTGATTTGGGGTGGGGGTGCGGCGGGGGAGGGGAAGGTAACTTGGCATAGATTTTCCCAGATTCCCCTGCTGATTTATAGCACCCCAGGTCAGGCTTCTCCATTGGGAGCAGCACCACTCGTTGCTATGGCAACAACAATTCAGCCTCCTTTCTTCAGGGGTTCGATCTCAGGCAGGGGATGAGCATCTTCTAAGCCCTACAGGAAGCAGCGAGCGTGCGCCTGCGTAGTGGGGGGCGGGGGGGGGGGACGGAGGAGAATCCAGTTTTCGGCACAAAACGGTCCGAGTTAAGAAAGGGAAGCAGCAGCAGGGTGTTTGAAATAGGGAGATTTTTCAGATCCCAGTTCCTCACTTTGGACACTGCTTCAGCTCATCCCCAAATGGCCACCGTGTTTTGAGAGCCAGAGCAAGGCGAGAGAGAATTTTAGGCCTGATCTCCCCCGCGGTTTAGCCCCAGTTTTAGCATCTGGTACAGAACAGCAAACTCCCCAAGTCCAGTTCTCCAGGTCCCCACTCCTTGTGGCGCCCTCAGTGCAAAGCAGGTGCAGCATGTGATCAGATCAGAATGGGAGCGTTTTACAGGCACCGTCCTCGGCCCGCCGCCAGATCAGACCAGGACCTTGCCCTGGTGTGACTGCACGAGGTGTGAAGCCAGGGGCATCAGGGCCATAACTCCTTGGTGTATTTCTGTCCTCCAAACCTTAACTCTGCAGCACAATCAGAGGCAGATAGCAGCTCGGGCAGACATACCTGAGCTAGCACTGTTAAAAACCGCAATGTAGATGTGGTGGCACAGGCTTCAGAGTGGGCCGTACCAGCATGCCGGGAGCCTGGGTACACACTCGCGTTGCTAGCCCGCCTGCGCCGAAGCCCGTGCCACTGCATCTTCACTGCTCCGTTTAGTAATGCTAGTGCAGGGTAAGGTACGTCGATCCATGCTGAAATCACGCCTCGGCTCGCCGTGTGGACACACCGTTAGAGTCAGGATTCCAGCCCCGAGCACTAATTCAAAAGTCACTTTATACAGGTATTCCGCTTGGTTGTGCAAAAATTCACCATTTCCCCCCTCAAGAGACTTTCACTAGTGAGCTCTCTCGGGAGAATAACTGCAGGAAGCAAACGCAGCCAAAACACGGTCCTTTACAAAATCCAAACCAACGTTCCGTGGGGGAGGGGTTCACAGCAACCACGCAGCCCTAAGTAGGGAGAGAAGTCCCCATTGCTACGTCTGTTAACGGCCACAGCTCGGCTCCCCAGTGCAAACACGAGGGCTCATTCAGACCAGCTAACACAGAAGACATTCACGAATCCACAGCAGCGGGATAAATGGAACAAATAATCCTATTTGAGAATCTATACCCTGCTTTGCAGCCAGAGGTTTAATACAATTTCTGAAACACACATTGTCACACGCTGAGATAAGAGACAAAGGGTTTGGAGCCAGGGACTCCTGATCACTCACTACAAACATAATAAAAGAGAAGGAGGATGAGAGATACAGGAAATAAAATGCTTGCTATGACAGCAGAATGGCTTTTTCACTGATCGTTCTGCTGAGCTTTCAACCCACAGCTCCGGTGGCTGCTTGCTCAATGTTTCCTGCTCAATCTGGAAAGCATAAATTTGTCACAGTTAAGCCTTGTCCTTTTTTGATGGCTACAAGCAGACCAGGGATCACAGGGTTAATTACGTACATGTTAAATAAAAATAACTGTGTTAAAAGAACACGACGACTGAGCTCAAATGGCATGAAAGTGAGATAATTCAGATTTCTCTTCCAAAGTCTCCTTGACTCACGCTCATCCCCCCTCCCACACGTGTGTTTTGTATTATCGCATGAGGCTGACCATGAACTTCAATGCCATAATCTACAGTTTGTAATGGATCCAGATGACACTTGTTTTTCCTTATTTGCAATATTACTATTTTAGCCTTAAACGTAGATTTCTTCCTTTCTTTTTTTTTTTAAATGATGAAGGGAAAAGACAAGAACTTTGCATTTGTGATTAAATACATTCTCGGTGGAGATCACTCTTATTTATGAAGCATCTAACCTGTGCTAGTGAGAGGAACACACAGAGTTGCTTTGCACCAAGCCGTGATCACCCCTGGGTGTTAATTTCAAGATCTATTCACTGGAATAAATGCAGCTGTGATGGTGGATTACAGCGTTTCCCCTGCTCTTAATTATTTTCAGAGAGGGCTGCATGTCAGGATCCTAAATTTATGATACTTTCACCATTTCTATGCCAGCTTTTAATGGCCCCTAGTCAAGTGACTTGCCCTAAGCAACCTTTTAAAATAGTCCTTCTGAAAATGCTGCTGCTTTCAAATCCTTCCTTACTTAGGCCAGGTCTACGCTACAGTGGCACAACTTACGGCACCGTGGCATAAATGCTTCCTACATGGACGGAAGGGTTTTTTCCATCGATGTAGTTAATCTACCTCTTCAAGAGGCAGTAGCTAGATTGGTAGAAGAGTTCTTCTGCCATTGACCTCGCTGTGTCTACACCAGGCTTAGGTCCACCTACCTACAGTGCATCATTTTTAAGCGTAGACCAGGCCTTAGTTTGGAGCCTTTCATCACTAATCTCTGCCTATTCACACACCTGGTCATGTAAATCAAATAACCAGGCATTAGGAAACAGAATAGATGATATGATCTACCATCATCAGTAAAACCACCTTCTCCCAAGAAAAAACAACAAGGAATCCTTGTGGCACCTTAGAGACTAACACATTTATTTGGGCATAAATAAGTTATTAAGTAAAATATTTATTATAATGTAAAAATAAATAAAATATGTATGCCCAAATAAATGTGTTAGTCTCTAAGGTGCCACAAGGATTCCTCGTTGTTTTTGCTGATACAGACTAACACGGCTACCACACTGAAACCATCTCCCAAGAGCCTCTCTCTCCCCCACCCCATCTGACAGTGATCTCTTGCCCATGTGCTAGCCTGCAAATTGATCTGCAGAGGAAGCCTCCTTCCATGCAGGACCCATTTGAAATTATTTCAGCTTGCAGGACCTTCCTATGCATCCGTACTTCACCACACACACATGACATTACAGCAATAGGGGGCAAGGGGGAGAATTCTCCCCCTCCCCTCAAAACAAAGGCTTGAACCCCCATTTTTCCTACAAACCGCCAGCACCAGCCCAAACCGGTGCAACATCCAACAGCTCACCCGTTGTCACAGCGCACTGCCTGACAGCCACCTCCAGTTCAGGCCGCCCTGAGCCCTCTGAATAACTGCAGCATCCCAGAGCATCTGCAAGCAACCCTAGGATAACAACAAAGCCAGTGCGGGCAGTTCTGGGACAAGGAGCCGGCTAACATGTGCAGTCAATCAGGGGTGGGGGTGGGGGAGAGAAACTGAGGTTTACAAGGGGGGGGAGGGGAGGGTGTCTTTACGAACAAAGACGAATTATAAAAAGAGGAAAGAAAAATCAACATGAAATAAGCAGCTTCCTGTTAAGAAAAAAGGGGCCACTCCAGGTCCATGTGACAGATGGGGTGGGAGGGTACAATGGGCAGGGTGAATTCCTTATACCAGGTTTGCTCATAATCATCCTTAAGGCAGGGGGGTGGAGAGGGGCAGAATGGATGTAATGACTGGGCCCCTGTCCAATGGTCCCACTCCCCCACCCCCCCCAGGAGCCATCTGCCTGGCTCAGCTGAAAGCCAGTTTCAGTTTTCCTTTCCCCTCTGAGTGCAGAAGCTGGGCTAGTTTAGAGGGTCCTGGATCCAAATCCAGGACCCCCCAAAACCAGGCATGGTAACCAAAGGACATAAGGCCACCTAGAGCGCCCCCTCCCCCTCGGCCCGCACCCCTCCTCCCCCACCGCCCACGGGGGCTTGAATCCTTCTCCCCCCCCCCCCCCCCCCCCCCAGCAGATGAGGTGCCATTTCCCCCCTTTGCAAAACCCAAATGCGGTGGATTATTTTAGGGGGGGGGGATATGTAACGCTACCCCCCTCTTTTAGCATGACCTGCTTTTCTCTTTGTGGGGGTGAGGAGGGGAACCCCCCCCTCCTTAAACCAGCTCCTCACTTACTTTCAGCCCCTTCTGGTTCATGTCACAGGCAGAGAGCCCAGCTGCCCCTGGTCAGTTTCAGGCTCTCTCTGTTGTACCGGGTTTGTTTATTTCCAGGACCAGGGAGGTGGGAAGGAGAAGGGGGGGGGGCTGCCCCCCAACACACACACACGAAAGGCTGCTCCTGGGTTAGCCGAGTCCACCTACCATTTCTCTGGCAGATCTTGCAGGGGAGGGGCTTTTGTTCTGGCTTTAGATCCCAAATTCTCCCGGAGCAGCAGCAAGAGACATCAAAAGGCAAAGATGTTACATTGTAGCCATTTTATGTTAAGCAGCTGTCGCGAGACCGAGGGTGATGGTGGAGGGGGGGGGGAAGGGGGAGGGATTTGTTATAGGAGGGAAGTGAGGGATTAGATTCCTTTAGCAAAGGCGGGGGTGAGGGGGGATCTCCTGGAGTTGACAAGACTCCAATACAAACCCAAGAGGCGGTGACTCCAGCGCCCAACCCCCTTGGTCCCCCCTCCTGCCTCTCTGCTCTCCTATCACATGATTGTGTCTCTCATGTGCTTCTGTCCTGCTTCTCCTTTGCTTCCTTTTTTCCCCTTAGTTTGTTTTTTTTTTAATAAGGCCAGAGCTGATGGTGCCAATAAAAAAAGATCTGCACAGGCCAAGGGGCATCCGGGCTTTGTTTAGGGCAATGCACGGCATGGCAGATGTGCACCGAACCATTACATCCAGCGGCAGAAAATGGCTGCAGCATCCTGACCTTTCGGGTGTTTGTCTTGGGCGTGGGGTTGGCGGCTCGCTTGCTCTGCGCAAGGCCAGGCGGGAGAGACGCCCCCATGCCTGTTCGTTAAGAGCGGCCACGGGATCTGAACCGATCTCACAACAGCCCTGAGCCGGCAACAAGGTCCATGCAGATGGACCCTCGGCCGCTTCAGGGCCTAGCAGCAAGATTTGCCAAAGAGTTTATGGGATTTAGGCACCCCATTCCTATCAGCATTCAGTGGGAATTGGACACCTCCATTGCCTTTTGAACAGCCCACCCTATGCTTACATTTTAGGTTCTTTAAGAACAACAGCCTACCATGCACCCTCCCAGGGTACTGTGACTCTAACAGCTGCACTGAGATGGGAGACCCAGCTAGGCAGATGTTTCAGCAGCATTTACTGCAGTGATGCGTTAGTGACCTCACTAGGAGGAACCATAGTTGACTGGTGACAGCGTAGGGACCCAAGAGACCTGGTGCTAGCTGCCTCTGTCACTAATTGCATGCAGTGGTGGTGTCACCGTGTCGGTCCCAGGATATTAATGAGACTAGGTGGGTGAGGTAATGTCTTTTATTGGACCCACTGCTGTCTCTATCACCAACAGAAGTTGGTCCAATAAAAGATATTACCTCACCCACCTTGTCTCGGTCACTGATTGGCTGTGTGTGCAACCTTGGGGCAAGTTACTAGGGCCCAGCTCCTCAAAGGGATTTAGGCACCTAATTCTCATGGGAGTTAGGCACCTAAATAACTTTGAGGAACTGGGCCGTCGCTGCACTGTGCCTCAGTTTCCCCATCTGTAAAATGGAGCAGATGCTGCTAATACTAGATGATCCCCACCACGCCTGTGCATGAAGGGTTCTCAGATCTGGGGGACCTGGAGTGCGACCCATGGCATGGGGGAGAGCCACATCCTTGGCCTCGTATCCCCTCCCTGCAGAATCTCCCCTGCCAGGGGTTTTTGCGGCCTGGTGGGGCAGAGCAGGCCACCCCCTGCTCCTGCTGACGTCTGAGCAGCTCTTTAACAGGGAGATGCTGCTGCTTGAAGAAGCCATGCAGGAGTTGTGTGCAGCAAAGCAGCCAGACCAGACGCCCCTGTCTGTTCAGGATTGGGGCTCCCCTTCCCCTGATCGCCATAACCGTGGGGCACTTTCCCAGCTCCCAAGGGGACCGAAGAGGTTTGATCTGAATGTAGCACCAGGGATTAAAAAATTCCTTCTGCTTCACCTCCTGCCTGGTGAGACTCCGGGCTGTTTCTAGCTGGGCGCATGGTGCCATCTAGTGTTAACTGTAGTGAATTAAAGTGATGTATACTGTACTTCATAGCATTAGAAATATCACATGGTAATGTCCTCGCTGGGCTTCTTGTTTAGTGTTCATGGATGCTTTTTAATTAAACCTAACAAGGAAATTCCCTGACAAAAGCTCCACTGAGGTGGAGATCAGGCTGAGAAGGGAGATCAGCATCTGATGAAGTGGGCTGTAGCCCACGAAAGCTTATGCTCAAATAAATGTGTTAGTCTCTAAGGTGCCACAAGGACTCCTGTTCTTTTTGCGGATACAGACTAGCACGGCTGCTACTCTGAAACCAGTAATTTAGGGTAAACAATATTAGGGTTTGTTTCTTTTTTTACATTGTGGGTTATGAGCAGGCTTTGAACCCAGCCCCGTCACAGGCAGAGACAGCACAGACCTCTTCCACGGAACTAAGACAGTGGAGATCCTGAAAGGGGCGTGGGGGTGGGTGCACAGTGGAGGCCTGGGGGGATTTGTTGAGTGTGGGGGACCAATCTCTCCCCTCCACGTATTCTGTCCCCCCACCCACAGGCATATTCACTCGGCCATTTACTCAGCCGTCCCCTTCTCATCTCCAGCTGATATGTTTTCCTAAAAGATCGGCTGTAGGAATTATTTGGGGCAGTTCTCTGGCCTGTGGGATACAGGAGGTCAGAGATGATCCCAATGGTCCCATCTGGCTTTATAAATCGCCACCCTCCCCCAAGTATTCAGCAACCCCCCCCTTGTCTCCTGCCCCCCTCCTTTGGTCTCCCATCCTCCATCTCCCCCCATCCCTTGTCCCCTGCCCCCTCTTTCATCTCTTTCCTCCCCTTCTCCAAAGTCCCCAGAGTCAGTTTTGCAGCACCCTGGGGGGGGGGGGACACTTCATCTCCCAGCAACCCTGGGCCTGTGTCCTGTCACTCCCCGCCCCCTCAGAGAGAGGATCTACCCCACCCTAGCGAGAACTAGCTCTAGGGTGACCAGATGTCCCAATTGTATAGGGACAGCCCTGCTATTTGGGGCTTTGTCTTATACAGGCACCTATTACTCCTCAGCCCCTGTCCCGATTTTTCACACTTGCTCTTGGGTCACCCTAACTAGCTTTCACAGCCCCATCTCCCCTCATGACCTCAGCGAGTCTGCCCCACCCTAGAGAAAATGCCATCGACCCCCTCACTTCTGGGGTGGAGCATCTGCTTGGCAGGCTTGTGGCTGAATGTGAGGGGAGGGGCTCCCGGGGATGGGGTGCAGAACTGGGTGGGGGAAGAGAAAGCGGGGCTGGAGGGGTTACTAGTCCGCCGGCTGGCTGGCTTGTACAGTGCCAGGACTGAGAGCCATTGAGCCAAACAGTCAACCCTGCACGTCAAGCCAGGGGGTGCAGGAGTACCCCTAGATCCAGCAGCTATGCTGGCCGGACAGGCAGCGGAGCACCGACCGCGCCTGCTAGACCTGACCTTTTCATCACCTTCTGCCTGCAGCCGTCCTCAAAGCACAACCAGCAGATTGCAAATGTACACACATTTCCATATATATATTTGCATAACGATACAGCGAAGGAGGAAAGAGGGCTGCAGTGAGGAGTGAAACCCCCAGCCGCTATGGTCTTTACCCTGTCCCCCCTCAGCCATTACAGCCCTTAGAAACCCCCTCCTCCTCTCCTTGGGCAGCGCCAGCAGGCTCTCTCTGCTCCACTCCCCGACAGAGCACTGGGAAGGGGAGGGTGGACGCCGGGTGAGTCTGAGGCCAGCCTGCAGTGTTTGGAAGAGGTACTTTGGCCAACAGGGTGCCCATAGAGGGCAGCATTCCAGCCACAGTGGATGGGGCAGGGTAGATACAGCAATGGGAAACGGGCGTGGAGCGGCTGGAGGAATACAAGAGATGGCCTGTCAGGTGGCCCAATCTTCCCATTTCTCTGCTCTGTGGAGGGTGTGTTATAAGATCGTAAGAACATAAGAACGGCCAGACTGGTCAGCGCAAAGGTCCATCTAGCCCGGTATCCTGTCTTCCGACAGTGGCCAATGCCAGGTGCTTCAGAGGGAATGAATAGAACAGGGCAATTATCGAGCGCTCCATCCCATCGCCCAGTCCCAGCTTCTGGCAGTCCGAGGTGTAGGGCCACCCAGAGCATGGGGCTGTGTCCCTGCCCATCCTGGCTAATAGCCATTGACCGACCTGCTGAAGCGCTTCGCAACACTGGGAAGATGTCACTACAGAGTTAACTTGGGCGATGGGGTCTCACAAGAAAATTTTCGGTGGCCTCCGAGTGCGGCCACCAACTCTCGCTTGTGGCTGCTCGGACAATTTTTCCTAACACCCTTAATCAACTTTAGGAAAAATAAATAAATATGCACGTCGACGTGTCTAGACCGTAATTTGTTTAGGTAGGTTTTTATTGCAGCCTCAATAATAAAAATACTGTACAGTTGTCTCTGTTCTTTACTGGCCCTAAACAGAATAGAAACAAAGAACGTGCTTTGCACGTTCTGGTCTTTTCGTTGTGGTTTCTTTTGCTTTTTTTAAAAAAGGACTTGCTAGCTAGTAAGTCTGCTTCTGTGAAAGGTGATATTTGTATGCTTGTCAACACTGCTTGGTCCCCACAATCACCCGGCACGAAAAGCCCCTGGTGGCCCCATTTAAGAAACACTCACTGCAAAGCCCTACTTGAGTTCCTGGCGCCTCACCGGGGTGCCACTCCCCACCCGTGTGTCACCAGGGATATAGCCCACGGTCCCTTGTGCCGCAGGGAGATGAGCCGCTCTCTGATTCTTTCCCAGTGAACCGTGGGAGAATTTATCTGTCCTTCTGGGGGCACGTGTGTGTGTGCGGGGGAAGGAATTGTGGGACAGCATTGGAGGACTGTCAGTACTTGAGTGATGTAACTTGTGGCCTCACTGCAAAGTGGGAGGGTTCCCAGCCAGTGAAAGCAGCACCTGGGCTCTAACCCAGGGTCAGGGAGCCTGGGTATAAGCCCCCTTCTCCCAAGCACTCAGGAGAGAGGGTTTTCTGTGTGGACAAGAGGGGGTTGGGGCAACACCTGGGCGTGAGGCTGGGCTAATGCTGCAGTGAAGACAGACCCAAAGCTCACACAAAGTGGGGCCGGGGTGTGTGTATGGGGGGCAGACAGGACCGATGGCTTGGAGCACATACACACAACTGCCCCCTCTCCCGGGCACAGAGGCATCAGCTGGTACCAGGGAAAGATGAGGCACCAGCACTAAGGCCTGGAGGGGCTGGCCCCTGCCCCCAGCACAGCTCCCCCTCTTTGAAATAACCCATCT